GAACTGCTGTGTCTACAGTGGAAGAACTGCTGTGCTGGAGACACCCTTATGTGGAGGACTGGCTTCAGTGGGGCTTTGGTGCTCACTGAGTCCGCTTCTTGAGTGTTTCCCTTATGGATGTGAGGAGTTGAAATCTGGTATCTGACCAGGGGTACCCTGGCTCCTGGATCTCCAAGTCAACCACTGTGTGAGTCCACCCAGCAGGAGGTACAGCGATATCAGCAGAGTTCTCCTTTTTGTTTGGAAGGTTTGGAGTTCTCTAAACCAGCTGCAGTTAGATTAGGCTGCAAAAGCCAAGGTGATTCCTTTGAACCACTGAGCACAGCTTGGGAAGGGATGTAAATTGAGTGGGGCGGGGTCTCAGAGAACCACCAGGGTAGAGCAAACAGCAATGGCTGTCATCAGCCGTCTCCAACCACTCCTCGCATCTCAGCGTCTCTGCGTCCCAGAGTCTCCGAGTCCTGTGCCCCCACAGCAACAATGATCCCTGCAAACAGCTCTGTGAGAAAGCCACCCACACTTCCCACACTGCTGCAAGACAGTCCAATTTCTCCCCATCGGCGTCTGGGACCCCAGAGTCTCGCCATAAATGAGTTCGGTGAATTCGAGAGCTTGTATCCCCTTCCGATTGAAAAAAACCGCGCACCCAGGTGCAGCCACCTTGCACGTGCCTCCGTACCTCTGTTCTTGGCGCCTCTGCACCTCCTACCTGGTCTTAGTGCGCTTTTTTCTTTCCTCCTAGTTGTAGAACTTCCACCCAGCCAGCTTTCCTGTGGTTCTAGATGATAGCTGTTTTGTCTTATAGTTGTAGTTTTAATGTTGTTGTGGGGGGCAGCATGTACAGGTTTGTACCTTATGCCGCCATCTTGGTTCTCCCTCTCTCTCATCATTGGTGTTTCTATCTCTCTCCTGCTCTCCCTTCCTCTCTGAAATCAATAAAAAATTAAAAAATAAATAAATAAAGAACAGCTCATTTGAATAAAAACATTACTGGGATTTAAAATATGTTAATGAACTTTGAAGGCAACATTGTGCTCAGTGGAATAAACCAGAATGCAGAAGACAGACTGCTCGCTCCCCCTCTGGGAGGATCTGGGACAGCAGGGGCATAGAGACGGACGGTGGAGGATGCCAGGGCTGGGAGGTTGTGTTTAATGGGGACAGTGTCTGGTGATGATTACATAACATTGTTGACATTCTAAATACCACTGTCTGTATATTTAAAAGTGCTCAAAATGGTAAATTTTATGTATGTTTTATTATAATAAAAAGTTTAAAAATAACTTCCAGGTTTCTCACATGAAAGATAAAGAAATGGCGTTGATACACCAGCTCACTTTGGTGGAAACGTTGTGGACAGAAGAGCTGAAGATCCTCCGGGCATCTGCTGAGACCCTGAGCGGTTTGCAGGCCGCTGTTCGTGACTCACCCACGTGCCTCCGATCGCCTCCCCCGCTGGGTGTCACCCCCTCTGCAGGGTGTGATGCCGGAAACACTGTACACTGAGGTTCGTTTTACCCTGAATCCTTTTTAGATCTTGGCTCTGGATTTACACTCTTCACAGCGTTTTCACGCCTGTTAATATTCAGGACCTGGGGGCGGGTGTCAGAGCAGAAATCATTCCACAGAAGCCAAGGCTGCTGCTTAGAAACACGGGACATTGTCGAAGCACAAGACGATGCGGTGTTCCCTTCCGGAGCCTCTGGGCGCAGGACGAGCAGCTTCCACTTCGCCCAGCTGAACATGCCGGGTCTCCAAGCGCCACAGCTGCCGGGGTGTGGGAGGCAGGAGAGGGAGTACTACCAGCCGCCGCCCGTCATCTTTCAATGCAGCAGCCCATGCTGAGTATGGGTTAATCCCAAGCTCAAGTGCACGAGTTCTCGGCTCAGCCGGTCAGGGCCACGTGAGCGGCAGAACACACGGTGCTCGCCCTCAAGGCCTCCTGTGAGAACAAGCCCCACTCGCCCGCCTGCCCGCCCAGGCGTCTGAGGAGCAGAGCTGAGTCGGGCTCAGCAGTGAGCTGGAGACGCTTCCCTCTTCGTCCACTGGGTGGCGCGAGAGGCCCGCCGAGCCGGAGGGCTGGCTCCTCAAAAGCAGGCAGTTGTGTTCAGGTGGGAGTGGGATCTGGACAAAGCAAAGCGACTGTGCTCCTGGGACAGAACGCTGGTGTCCCTGCTCTCCTGGGGCCTTGGCCTCCTTGGGTGAGAACAGGCAGCTACACAGCAGTTCAGGGCGAAGGGGCCTGGCCAGGGGTGAGGCTCAGAGGTGAGGGTCGGCGGTGGGGGGCAGGTGATAAGACGCAGGACTGCCTGTCTGCCTACGACAGGCCATAGGAAATGTCAGTATGGGGCACTTTTTCTCGAGCAGAAGAGAATGCCTCATCGCAGGGAGAGGTTTTAGTTCCATGTCTTCGAGAGCAGGCAGACAGGTCCTGGCCAGACAGACAGGAAGGCTCACTTCCAAGGGTGTAAACTGAGCCCCCACCCAGAAGGGGGTCTGCTCCTGTGATGGCTTCTGCCAGGTGTGTCCGGAGCCGGGAAGGAGCCTTCCTCTGACGGGCTGGCCGTCCGTCCTTAAAGGCGTGCGTTTGACGTGAGGACAGAGCCTCAAGGTCGAGGGGAGCGTGCCCAGTGTCCTTGGACTCCTGCATCCACGTTGACTGACAGGCTCTGATCCCAACCGGCTGGTGACAGGCGTGAGGTGGCCCCGCACATCGCACAGTGACGATGCGGCGGCCTCGTTTGAAACGATCTCTTGGGTCTGCTGGGCCGTCCCAGGGCCCCGTTGTCTGTCCTCAGGTGGAGACTCGCTCACCTTACAGGCCCTTGGACCCTCTGTGCCACCTCTCCGTGGATGCACGTCCCGGCCTCGCCTCGAGCGGGCGGCATTCCATGCAGAGCGCCTGCAGGGCCTGGCGAGGCCCCTGCTGCAGGCTTGAAGGTTCCCCTGGAACTGGGCACGGAGAGAGACCCACACGTGGCCGTCGGTCTGATCGGAGTTGCCTGACGGTGGCGGCTGTTTGTCTGGAAGTGATCTTGCTGAGGAGGTCGGGTGGGGTCAGGCGCTGTTTCTGATGTGGTTTAACGTGCAGGTGAGGCTGGGAGCCATGGCTCACGTGGGCTCGACAGGAGCTGTGAGAGGAAGGATTCCGTCTCCATTCAGGAGCAGGAGCAGGGTCCTGGCAGGGCCACGGAGCCCATCTTCTTCCTTATAATCTGTCGTGGCAGGAGCCCCGGAGCTCACCTACAACCCGCTCCCCACGGCGGTCTGCAGCCAGCAGCGCCCGCGCCCCGGGAGCTCGCCTGTTAGAAAGGAGACTCACACCCTGGGCCTGCCGCGTCCAGTCTGCCCAGTGATGGACGTCAGAAACGCTGCCTCGGGCCAGCTCTCCCACATCTCCAGGGCCCGCGTGGGTGCGGGGCCAGCTCGGTGCCAGGCTGTGCCATCCATGCACGGAGTCCTCCTTGCCGGGCACCGTTCTCTCGATGGGTGGGGAAAGCCTGGCTCAGGGGCCGGGGGCGAAGTCCCTGCCACAGTCAGCAGAGCCCGGGCTGAACCGAAGCATCTCTGCGTAGACACCTTTGCAGCAGACGTTTCCGCGCAGACATTTCTGCCTCATAACTAACGGGCTGTGAGGCTTTTCTGCCGTAAGAGACAATGACTGGCTGGCAGGTTTGTTGTCTGGCTTTATTTCTCTGTTGACAAGCAGTCAGGTGCCGTAAAAGAGATAAAAATAGCTGCTTGCGATTTGCTTTTCTTGTTTTGCTTCATTTCTCCGTGGATGAGGTTCTCACAGTCGCTCCTGTTTTAGGTTAGGTCACGTGTAGCTCTCAGCCAGCCCTTCACATCGTTGGCACTTCTCCCCGATGACATGACTTCCCCAGGAGTTGGGGTCTCGTCCTGCAAGAGGACACGGGGAGGAGGAAGCGAGGCCAGGCCCCGAGGGCAGAGCCGGGCCCACGGCTCCCACGAAGGAGAAAGTGCTTCGGTGCCGTCCGTGGAACAGAGTCTGCTGTTTGTGCGGTGTTGCCATGACTACAGTTTAAATGTAGTCACATAGTCTGCATCCCACAGGAAACTTGAATTTTGTTTTTCATCTCTTCACGTTTCATTATGCCCTTCCAAACGTCCCTCTTTTCTGTTTCGTGATTTTACCTTTTTAATGGTAAAAGGTGACCAGTTATGTGGCGAGGAGGTTTGCTGCAGGGATGCGGTGGCCACGGTATGGGCCAGAGCATGTGGTGGGACGGACTTCTCCTGGCCCATTTCTGGCCGCCGGGGTTCTAGCGGAGGAGGACACTTGGGGGGCTGGGGCGTGGGGAGGACCGGGCAGTGCCCTCTGCGCTGGCCGTGCCCGTTCTGTCCTGTGCTTCGGTCCCCGCAGCCGGCTGACATGCTGCAGGCTCACAGGTGGATGGAGCCGGCGGGGCTGCGGCAGTCTGGGGTCTGGGGGTGATTTCAAGGCCTTGTGGGCGCCATTAGGTCAGATTTGTGCAGAGTGACGGAGCAGCCCCGGTGCCCTTCCTTTCTTTATTGCGTGTTTTCTTTGTGAGGGGAATAAAGAGCCGACTGCCTTTTAAGGGACAGGAACACTGAGTTTTGTCTTCCCATCCCATTACTGTCAGACAAGTCACCTGAGAACTCGGGTCACATGGTCCGGCTTCAGGAGCGGCGCTCCCGAGAGGACGGCTCAGGGGCTCCCAGCAGACCGAGAAGAATGCCTTTTATCATGTTCTGGTCTCTACCTCCCACTGTTTTATTTCCCTTCCAGCATCACTCAGCCCAAATGGTATTTGTCAGGAGTAATTGGCGAGCGCCGGAGGCTGTGTTCAGTCTGCTTGAATGGAAAATCTCAAAGCGGTTGTCATGTTGAAAGAAAATACTACATTTGATCTTTTTTATGATTTCTGCAGACATGGTGCGTGTCTGCATTTTTAGCCTCCTGGCCCCTGTACATTTGGGGGAAACGCCCTGCAGGAAGTAGCCCTTGGCAGTTCATTCACCTTCTGCGGAGAAGTAACCCCGCACACGGGGAGTCACTTAGAAACATGATTTATTTCCATTAGGGGCTCCGGAGCCGCTGGCGTGCAGGTTGCTGGACACCCACCCAGGACGTAGGGCTTCGCGTCTCGTGTCCGTTCCTGCGAGGATGTTTAATCTTCTGGATGAAACGGTGCCTGAGGGCGGTGGCAGCCATCCTCCAGCCCTGCGCCGACCGGCCTCTCGCTGCCCCTTCCCGGGCAGGACGTCGGGCCCCCGGGGGAGACTCCTGGTCAGAGAGCAGAGCGGCGAGGCCGAGAGAGAGGCCGGGCATGCAGACGGCCTCGCAGACGGTCCCCAGCACGGTGCACAGGACACAGTGTGGCGGCTTTCCAGGGGCACACAACCCCATCGCAGGCACCTTCCTCCGTGTTCCCACGTGTATCCACACACACCCTGAGGAGTACCCTCGCTGCGGCAGGTCGCAGAGCCGTGGGACAGACGCACCACCTCTTGTCTAGGGCGCTGGGCTGCTAAGTCATGAGTCATGAGTCACCACCGTGTTGTAGAAAACTCTAGATTGGGGGTCAGCAAACTGTAGCCACTCCCTGTGTTTATAAATAAAGTTTTTTAAAAATGGGAACTTCTTTATTGTGGTAAAATATGCAGAACATAAAATTTGCCATTTAAACCATTTTAAATGTACAATTCCGTGGCATTGAGTATCATGTTGTGTCACCATCACCCTTTCCAAAACTCTTCCATGGCCCCAAACAGAAATTCTTTACCCATTAAATGGTAACTCCCCAGCCCCCTCCCCCCAGGACCTGCTAACCTCATCTATTTGGTCTGTAACTTGCCTGTTCTCAGTATTTCATGTAAGTGGGATCATGTGACATCTGCCCTTTGTGTCTGGTCTGTTTCACTTAGCACAGCTTCTGAGGTCCAGTCGTGTAGCAGGCGCCAGGACTCCCTTTCTTATGGCTGATACTCCACTGTGTGTCAGGGCCACGCTTCTTCTTTCTTCTTCAACATGTATTTTTATTGATGTCAGAGAGGAAGAGAGAGGGAGAGAGAGAGAGAGAAACATCAGTGATGAGAGAGAATCATTGACCGGCTGCCTCCTGCACGCCCCCTCCTAGGATTGAGCCTGCAACCTGGGCATGTGTCCTTGACTGGAATCGAACCTGGGACCCTTCAGTCCACAGTCTGACGCTCTATCCACTGGGCAAAACCGGCCAGGGCCACATTTCTTTTTTAAAAAAAATATATTTTATTGATTTTTCACAGAGAGGAAGGGAGAGAGAGAGAGAGAGCTAGAAACATCGATGAGAGAGAAACATTGATCAGCTGCCTCCTGCACACCCCCCACTGGGGATGTGCCCGCAACCCAGGTACATGCCCTTGGCCGGAATCGAACCTGGGACCCTTCAGTCCACAGGCCGATGCTCCATCCACTGAGCCAAACCGGTCAGGCCCACATTTCTTTTTTGAGGGGGACATTTTCCTCTAGCCTCTTAGGTTCAGTGGCTGGGGCCTGTGAATTAAACCGACAAAAGATAGATCAACAGGAGTAAAGATTTATTCTGCGTGTACATAGGGGCTTCACAGAAAAGCAATGAGAAAGCCAAGAAGTAGTTAGGCCTAAGAGCTTATGTACCATTTTAAAAAAGGGCAGTCAGTTGTAGAGAAGTGACTAGACAGAGAGATTTGGGCTCCCGGGGGAAGGTAATGGAGGATAAGGGCTGTGTAGTAGGCTCGTTACGCCGACTCCAGTTGGCAGGCCCCGTGATAGGAGTCCGGTGGTTCAGACTTGTCTCTTCCTGGCATGAGGGGCGGGGGGAGGGTGTGGCGGGGGAATCTTTCCAAATGGAAACCTACGCTTGGGTTTTTGGCCGAAAGGAGGGTGGAGAGTTCCTCCTGCACCTGCTGTTTCTCAGGCGCCTTCAGCGGAGGAGCCTGTACATCAACATGGCCCTTTTTGGGGCAGCCTTTTCTGACCCCGTTCACCCGGTTCAGCCCCGTGCAGCACATAAGGGGTGACACGCACGTCCAAGCTGTAGAGATGTGTGTGCACCTGGCACAACGACACGGCCCGGCGTGGACCCAGAGTTTCAGAAAACACCAACAAATGTTGTCGGGAAATGAGGCAAATGACACTGTGCTTTTGGGGTGACTTTTATGAAACAGCCACGTGTTGGGTAGAACAGCCACGAAAGATCTCAGAAACCCGTCACTCTACAGGCAAAAACACCATGTTGCTGATGTAATTATTGAGACTTACTTTTTCAGTGTGTTTTTTTTAATATATTTTTTATTGATTAAGATATTACATATGTGTCCCTGTCCCCACATCACCCTCCACCCCGCCCCCGTTGTCCGTGTCCATTGGTTAGGCCTCTATGCCTGCATGTAAGTCCTTTAGTTGCTCTTTCCCCCTTACCGCCACCCTCCCCTACCCTCCCTCCAAAGCCCGACAGTCCAAT